ACCAAATTGTGGCGGAGTGCTACAAGTTCTTCAAATACCTACAGAATGATATTATAAAGCACACCAAGATTATCTGTAAACTGTTTAATGTAACAAACATTACCTGATGATGACAAAACCTTGTCGAAACGTTGTACATTTGCCGTTATGTTAAACTTATATTAAAGTTTTTCTTCATTACCCATACAAGCCGTCTCCAGCCATTAATAATGTTAGAACGCTCTTGTTTCAAATCACAACGTAAATAAAAGTCCGTGCTATTTATAAAACAATAACTAGCGAGTTTCTGTATTCTTTGTATTCTGTTAAAAATTGGATAATTCTGATCAATCCTTTTTGTTAGAATTCAAATAATGCTAAAAATTGGGTTTTATATCTGCAAATCATTGTGTAAGGTTGAGTTATTCAATTAATCCCTTTCGGGAGGCATCAGTGTTACACGAGGTTGTCTAATTAATTCCTCTCAAAAAAATTCAAAGTCTGTACCCTAATGAGTGCCATTATTATAGCATAATTTTTGGCTTACTTTTGTTACTATGTTTCTGCCAACAGATATATGACAAATCCCTCGTCTCCACAAAGAATCTCGTCATCAGATAAAGAAAAGAAACGTACAATGGTCAAGGATTTGCCATTTAAAGAGGATGTGCATATTCCCGAGACATCTGCTTTTCCATCAACGCATGATGCGACTTCACCTGAAAGTGGCCTTTTGAACATGCCTGCAGAAAGCTTGAGTGAGCAAGAAACAAGTCCAAAGTTGGCTTCTGGTGCTTCTTCTGGAAGCTGCAACACGCTAGATTTTACTGGAGTTTGTGAAGACTCTTGTCTACTTTGTAACAAAGTACTGACAAATTACTCTGTTCCTTCTGATGACACTTTGGAAAACCATACCAAAAGAACACTCTATAGAAATGTTGCAAGTCCTTCGGACGAAGAACATGCTCTACAAGCATCAAAACGTGCCAGGATAGAAAACAACAACAGTATTCCGAGTAAATGTGACAACTGTTGTCATCATTCAGGCTCTCAGTGTCTACCACAACATCGACTGATAACTTCAATATCATCAACTCCATCAATTTTGAATAACTCATCACTACAAAAAAGGTTATTCCTCACAAGCATCCACAAAAACGTTGCCCAGTACTAGATCTTCACTGTACAGATGTAGTGTAAACTTTTAATAGTAAAACGTTGTCCAGTATAGATGTAAACTTTTAATATCAAAACGTTGTCGAGAACTAGATGATCACTGTACAGATGTAAACTTTTAATATTAAAACGTTGTCGAGAACTAAATCTTCACTGTACAGATGTAAACTTTTAATATTAAAACGTTGTCCAGTATTAGATATTCACTGTTCAAATGTAAACTTGTATTATTAAAACGTTGTCCAGTACTATATCTTCACTGTACGGATGTAGTGTAAACTTGTAATATTAAAACGTTGTCCAGAACTGGATCTTCACTGTTCAGATGTAAACTTTTAATATTAAAACGTTGTCCAGTCCTACATCATTGTACAGACGTAAACTTGTAATATTAAAACGTTGTCCAGTACTAGATCTTCACTGTTCAGATGTAAACTTGTAATATTTAAACGTTGTCCAGAACTGTATCTTCACTTTACAGATGTAAACTTCTAATAGTAAAACGTTGTCGAGAACCAATTTTCACTGTACAGATGTAAATTTGTAAAGTAAAGCGTTGTCTTGTCTTAAGAAATTACATTAAAGATAGTATGATCTACTATCAATAAAACGTGATCCGATTTTTTTTAAACTAGAGAAAAACAAAAATTACAATACAAAGACTAAAAACCTGACTGATGGCATCATGTTGCAAGTTATTGAAAAGTTCCGTCTATGACGTTACAATCGAATCTTCAAAAAATTAAATTATAATATTAACTCTAGAGGCGTCGCTGGCACACGAGGCCAGTGGGCCGATTCCATTTGATGTTCTTCAGACGTCAGATTTTTACATCTACCCTACACTGTGTCTTATGTTTACACCTACCCTACAATGTGTCCCGTGTTTACACCTACCCTACAATGTGTCCCGTGTTTACACCTACCCTACAATGTGTCCCGTGTTTACACCTACCCTACAATGTGTCCCGTGTTTACACCTACCCTACAATGTGTCCCGTGTTTACACCTACCCTACAATGTGTCCCGTGTTTACACCTACTCTTCATGTGTCTCGTATGAAGATATACATTACACTGTGTCCCGTCTTTAAATCTGCCTTATACTATGTAAGGTTTTTACACCGACCCATCAATGTGTCCCGTTTTTACATCTACCCTACACTTGTAATATTATAACGTTGCCCAGTACTACATCTTCACTGTTCAGATGTAAACTTGTAATATTAAAACGTTGTCCAGTACTACATCTACACTGTTCAGATGTAAACTTGTAATATTAAAACGTTGTCCAGTACTACATCTTCATTGTTTAGATGTAAACTTGTAATATTAAAACGTTGTCCAGTACTAGATCTTCGCTTTACAGATGTAAATTTGTAAAGTAAAACGTTGTCTTGTCTTACGAAATGACAGTAAAGATAGTATTATCTACTATCAATAAAACGTGATCCGATGTTTTAAAAACAAGAGAAAAACAAAAATTACAATACAAAGACAAAAAACCTGACTGAAGGCAACATGTTGTAGTGAAACTGGTAATTAGTAACTACATAACCTCGTCTTAATTAATATTTACTGCCTTACCTAAAACGTTTCGGTGGGTCTCTCATACACCGTCATCACGGTAGGAGACAGTATTCGTCTGAAGAAAAAATTTGAAAGTCTATTCCAATGTTTGTACACCCTTCTTATCTTGTATAATACAGAACTATGACCAAACGATTAGCATAATTAGTGCTGCCACCTGCTTATTCTCTTTCAAAATAATTTACAGAAATAAATTAATGCAACCCTTCGACCATAATTTCTATTTAAATTTAATTTCGAATTAATAATATTTTCAATTTAAGAGAAGCTGTAGATGTCTAAGTTTGACACGGGGTGAAGATGTCTCGCGACATTTAATATACTTGTTAAAAATACTACCCATGTGTGGGAAAATCGTTTGAACGTTAGGCATAAAACTCATATCTCAACATCAGTGATCGTAGTTCTAGCGTAAACTGTAGGATTTAACGAATTCGCATGTTTGTTGAAATCTATTAATACACTGCCAACATATGTGAACTCGGTAATTACGTCAAGTACAGTAGTTTGACTTTGGACACCATGTACCTGGATAGTGATATCTGGGATGCTGGATATCTTTAAAAGCTTTAAAACTCGCGCATTGTTGAACGTTTGGATACGATCAAAGACTTTTTTTCCACTTATCAGTCACCTGTTACAACAATACTGTATGCACTTTTTCAGACAATCCAGTAATGTTTTCCATGTTTATACGTGAGTTTACAGCAATGTCGTAGAAAACGCTCTGTAACCAACCCAGGAAAATGTATAATAATAACCGGTTTTATTTATTGGACAAACGCGTACTTAGCCAAAGCAAAAACCTAGTATTTTGGATATTCTTCAAATATCCGATATTTAAAGCCAAACAACATAAAAATGTAGAAACAATTGTATAAAAATAATCATTTCTTGGAAAGTATGAAAAATATTAGAATATTAATAAATGTTGAACGTTTATTCAGATAATGTGGTTCTGTTGCGTATACAGTGGTTTTAACTTCATTACACTCGCTATGATATTTTATTTTTATGATAATTGTATCGTGCGTATCAACTTTTAAAAATGTGTAATCCTGAAACCAAGTGTTCAGTACTCGTTACATGAAAGAAAAAAAAGAGACTTTCACTAAAATAATATCCATTCTTGGGTTAATCAGTATCGATCATATAACCCTAAAGTAGCCTAAACACGTCAAACGTAGTTAAAATAACGTTAATATATTCTGTGACGTAAACGTCTCAATGTTTAAAATCCAACAGTGAATAAGCAATAATAAACAAAACAGAGTCTAATCATATGACATTGGTTTTATTGTGGTGACAACAAGGGTGTGCAGACTAACGAAAGGCAAGTTCACTTTTTGTTATTCAACTCCTGTGGTCTTTTGATATACACATCCGGGGAGTTTTTCTTTTTTTAGGATTCTTGGATTGTTTGTTTGTTTTGAATTTCGCGCAAAGCTACACGAGGGCTATCTGCGCTAGCCGTCCCTAATTTGGCAGTGTAAGACTAGAGGGAAGGCAGCTAGCCATCACCACCCACCGCCAACTCTTTGGCTACTCTTTTACCAACGAATAGTGGGACTGACCGTCACATTATAACGCCCCCACGGTGTTTGGTGTGACGGGGATTCGAACCCGCGACCCTCAGATTGCGAGTCGAGCACCCTAACCACCTGGTCATGCCGGGCCTGGGGATGCTTGGAGCTGTAGAAAGTTATTACAGAAAAATATTTGGTAATTCGGTCTTTTTACACGTGAATTTTAAAAAACGCAGTACTGTTTTGTTTTCGTTTTATTAAAATGTTTTGTGAATATTACATAAACTTCTGCGTTAAAGCGACCTCCCGATTAGGGTAGAGTCAATTGTACAATAATGCAAAATAGTTATAATATTTTCTTTCTTATTAATGAAAATATATATATATTAATTACTGCAACACGTGCCGTATTTTAAGGTATATCTGTGTGTTATATCTCGTCACTTAACTCACTTCAAAAAAAAAAGAGATGAAGTGTACAAGAAATCATATTTATCGAAGGAGAGGCGTGGATGACAAACGTTTGTGAAACGCTTGTCCATACAATAAATAAACGTGTAAGGCTGGCGTTCCGATCGTTGATGACGCCCTGTTCTAGACATAAATTTCGCGCTCCTCCTAAAAAAAAATCGAATCTACCCTTTCCTTCAAAATATGCTAACTCATTCCCCCTAGGGATTGACGCTCGCTCTGTAGGGGGCCACCACTCGCACTACCCTTCAGTGAGGAAACAGGCAAGAACTGATAATACGATGTCTTTTCCAGCTTATATAACTCGATAAAATGTACGGTGCAGGAACAGAGATAAAAACAAAAACTAGTTGAATATACAGAACTTTGCCAAATTAATTTCTGAAGTAAACTATCTAATTGACTAGTCTGGCACGAAAACAGAAAAGTATAGCAAAACATTGTATGGAAATATGTGAACAACGACAAACTATTTTTTTTTTTTGTTTTGCTATGTGTTGAGTTTTTGGCAGGTGTCTTTGGATTGAATTACGTTTTCCTTATTTACTTTCCTGAAGCACAAAATACATGTATATATCATCAATCATCAACTGATTCCATTCGTTATCTTCTGAAGAAAACCTTTTCGCCTAAACTTTATTTTTAGTTGCTTTACAAATATTTTTGAGGCTATTTATCTTCGACCATTTTTTTGTAAAAACAAAATCCTACACCGACCCTACACAGTGTCCCATTTTTATAACGAACCCTATATTGTGTCCCGTTTTTAAACCGACCCTACACAGTGGCCCGTCTTTACATATATCGTACACTGTATCCCGGTTTTTATATCTATCCTACACTCTGTCAGGTTTTTACACCGACCTATCACTGTCTCCCGTTTTAACACCAATCCATCAATGTGTCCCGTTTTTACACCGACCCTAAAATGTACCCCGTCTTTACACCTACCCTACACTATATCAGATTTTTACACGGACCTATCACTGTCTCCCGTTTTAACACTGATCCATCAATGTGTCCCGTTTTTACACCGACCCTAAAATGTACCCCGTCTTTACACCTACCCTACACTATATCAGATTTTTACACGGACCTATCACTGTCTCCCGTTTTAACACCGACCCTAAAATGTCTTCCGTTTTTGCACCTACCCTACATTGTGTCTCGTTATTACAAATACCCTGGAACTGTGTCCCGTTTTTGCATCTTCCCTACACTGAGTCCCGTTTTCATATCTACCCTGCATTGTCTCTTACGTTTAAATCAACAGTACATTGTGGCAGGTTTTACACCTACCCTACACTTTGTCCCGTTTTACATTTACCGTACACTGTGCCAGGTTTTACACCTACCCTACACTTTGTCCCGTTTTACATTTACCGTACACTGTGCCAGGTTTTACACCTACCCTACACTTTGTCCCGTTTTACATTTACCGTACACTGTGCCAGGTTTTACACCTACCCTACACTTTGCCCCATAGTTACATCTACCCTACGTAGTGTCCCGTCTTTACATCTTCCCTACACTGTCTCTTACGTTTACATCTACTGTACACTGTGTCAGGTTTTACACCTACCCTACACTTTGTCCCGTTTTACATTTACCCCTGGCACAGTGTACTTTTACACCTACCCTACACTTTGTCCCATAGTTACATCCACCCTACGTAGTGTCCCGTCTTTACATTTACACTAAACTGTGTCCCGTCTTTACATCTACACTAAACTGTGTCCCGTCTTTACATTTACACTAAACTGTGTCCCGTCTTTACATCTACCCTACCCTATGTCAGGTTTTTACAACGACCTATCAGTTTGTTTCGTTTTTACACCGACTCATCACTGTGTGCCGTGTTTACATTTATTCTACATTGTGCCCGTATTTACGCCTACCCTACAGTGTCCCAGATTTTACACCGACCTATCACTGGGTACCATTTTTACACAGACCCATCAATGTGTCCCGTTTTTACACCGACACTACAAGGTGTCCCGTTTTTTACATCTACTCTACACTGTCTCGTTTTTACAATGATCCATCAATGTGCCCCGTTTTTACACAGACCATACACTGTGTCCCGTTTTTACATCTACTCTACACTGTGTCCCCTGTTTACGTCTACCCTACAATATGTCCAGTTTTTACATCTACCCTACACCATGTACTTTCTTTATATTTACCCTACGTCGTGTCCCGCGTTAAACATACCCTACACTGTCCTGTCTTTACATCTACCATTCATTGTCTCCCGTTTTTACATCTACTGTACACTGCGTCCCATCTTTAAAGCTGCCCTAAACTATGTCAGGTTTTCACACCGACACATCAGTGTGTCCCGTTTTTACACCGACCCATCAATGTTTCCCGTTTTTCCAACGACACATCACTGTGTACCGTTTTTACATCTACCCTACACTTTGTCCAGTACTACATCTTCACTGTTCAGATGTAAACTTTTAATATTAAAACGTTGTCCAGTACAGGATTTTCACTGTTCAGATGTAAACTTTTAATATTGAAACGTTGTCCAATACTATATCTTCACTGTTCAGATGTAAACTTGCAATATTATAACGTTGTCCAGTACTACATCTTCACTGTTCAGGTGTAAACTTTTAATATTAAAACGTTGTCCAATACTATATCTTCACTGTACAGTTGTAAATTTGTAAAGTTAATTTTTAAGTTTCGAATACAGACTGCACGAGCGCAGCAATTTCGACTATTTTTTCATTGTTTTGCAAAAACAAAATCCTAAAAGTTATGTTCGGTATGCGTATTTTATGTGGCGGTGAGGTAAGAGAGTCAGTACATTTTTCTGGCATTTTGTCTCTGGAAAAATAATGTTTTGTTCTTTTCATAGCTTGTACACTCCTGTATACAAGTGTCAAAATAAATAGTTACTGTTAACTACGAGTTTAACTTTATCGCGGCCAAGCGGAAAACCTAGTGGAGATAAACAACACAATAACACTGATAACTAAAGCTTCCAAGTTCCGTGGTTTACAATGAATCAGATGGTAAAGTATAGTTATACTAACAACACAATAACACTGATAACTAAAGCTTCAAAGCTCAATGGTTTACAATAACTCTGATGGTAAAACAGGGTTATACTAACAACACAATAACACTGATAACTAAAGATTCAAAGCTCCATGGTTTACAATAACTCAGGTGGTAAAACAGGGTTATACTAACAACACAATAACACTGATAACTAAAGCTTCAAAGCTCTATGGTTTACAATAACTCAGGTGGTAAAACAGAGTTATACTAACAACACAATAACACTGATAACTAAAGCTTCCAAGCTCCATGGTTTACAATAACTCTGATGGTAAAACAGGGTTATACTAACAACACAATAACACTGATAACTAAAGCTTCCAAGTTCCGTGGTTTACAATGAATCAGATGGTAAA